AAAATGTTGATACATTTTGATGATTATTTACAGCTACGGCTTCAATACCGTAGACGGTTTTGACCCGATCGTCAACAAAACATCACCCGTCGTGTTCGGTCGAACCGGTGGAAACAAAATCGTCACTCCCAGAATAACTACGCAAAATAACGATCTAAACTCGAACCATTCGAGCCACAATATAAACATAAAAAAATGACTTTCGTTGCATTTGACAATGATAAACTTACCGAAAAGCCGTGTTCTTCTCGGTCGCTAACGTCACTATAATCCGCCATTTTATTTGAGTGTGTTTGCCACCTGACTCTGCCCAGTGACGTCATCATGTGCGCTATAGAAGAAGGTCTGTGATTCGTTGACTAAAATCGTCGACAGTGGGTCTCGTTGAAATCTCGTTACATCAGCATCGGCTCAGATGTATGTAGGGCGGAATTTAAAAAAAATCACAAAATCAAAATCAAAGTAAAATAATAAAATAAAAAGGCATTAATAACAAAAGTAATAAAACATAAAATTAAAATAAGTTTATAGCCAAAATAATTAAAGCCCGTACACTACATCAGATTTTAATCGGATTGCATGTATGGTGTATTTACTTGCCAACAGTGCACTAAGACAGACAGACCAACATAATAGCAATCACACCAAACACCGCTCTTCTTAAGAAATCCACGCATTACATGAATGTAACTAAGATTGTCTTCTTGTTTTGATTTCATGTGATTTGATAGCATTACATCAATAGAATTAAAAATAAATGTGTTGTACTCCACAATGGGAGAAACTAAAGCCACAAATAGATAGATGAGAACAAATTATTGATTATGCAAAAACTGCGGTCAATGAGCCCAACTAAGCGAGTTATCACATCTGATTACTAAATGACAGTTTAGAATCCATAATCACATCAAGGCTGCATCAACAATTTGATAACCGTACACAATTCGTTAACCCCTTCAAGATTAACGCATATTAATAGTTGGATTCAGATCCATACACCAACACTAGGACCATGATACAAATTCATAAATAGCGGACTGTAAGTTAAAACAATTTACTGATTAAGCATGCATTAAAGATTTACCAGGAATACTAAGTGTTATATCATGTAGATACATTACCGGTATGAATAACAAGGACCAAGAATTACCGGTAGCCTCTGGAGCTTGCCATATGTTGCACTGCTCCATTAAGAAACAGTGCTATTGCTTTTCAGTGAGGATATACCATAAAACTGCAATTCGTAGAAAAAAAGAAGAGGGTTGTGTCATAATGACAATATAATTAACTTGTTAAACACAAGCACATGTAGACCTTAGTTTGAAGTGCGTGTGTCTGGTAATTACCAGTCAATCTTGTTGAAGATTTTATATGATCAATTTTTCTGTTCTATTTTCTAGTGGGTTGTACCATAGCCATTGGCGTTGTTATGGCGATACCGATAGCCATGATCGTGATGGGTAAGTATATCATTCAAAGTGAATATATGGCAGATATTTGGTTTAGTGTGAAATTTGGCCCAAAACTGAGAAGTCCACATTGAAAATGATTTCAAAATTTTTTTTATTACAACAAAGTATTTATGCATTGTTTTTGTTTGTATTATATGTTTTTTTCTAATTCAGCTACGTCATAATAATATAATTTAAAATTAATAATTTACAGTCATAAATTTATATACCGGTACTGTAAAATACTTTATTTTAGTTGGAATAAATTTTTACTGAAACGACTTTTTGGCTGTTTTGTATGGAATTTTATTTTCACTGATTATAAACAAGTTTAATGTAAAATATAGGAAAAAGGTATAGAGGTATTTTCACTGAATCATTCTTTCAGCGAAAATTAATTTCAAGCGAAAATAAAGTATTCTACGGTATAGAAGAAAAATAACATGTTGGTAATTGTTAAAAAATTGTTGCTCTATTGTTGTAGCAAACTGAAAACTATTCTGGCATGGCAAATGTAATGACCAGAGTTCATGAACTCAAATCAAATCTTGAACTATGAACTAACTAATCTGGTTCAGTATGCAAATTATACAGACCAAATTATTTTCAGTGATCTAAGTTATAGCTATATGCAAGTAGTAAATATAAAAATAAAATGCATAAATCTCTTGGTGAGAAAATATAAAATTAAATACTAAGTAAGTATTTATTAATAACTATATTTGTCATCAGTTAAGACAGAGAGCTTTTTTGAAATGATTTCTTGATTAAATCTGTTTAATTTATATTATTTGGAAAGGCTTTCTATAAAGGTGATAGGTAATAAGACTGAAGTTAGTTTCAGTGCTGGTTATTTGCAGCAGAATTAGTATGTGCTGTCGTCATGTAATAGTAAAACTTTAATTTTATCACAATACCTAGGGATATTTTCTCCACAAGCAATCTTTTTTATACGATTCTTGTAAGATGTAGAATTCTGGGAACAGTTTCACCGCCTTTCATGCATTGCACCTTAGAGAAATGTACCGTAGATGACGAATTATTTGCATTTATTAAAACAAAAACAACAATAAACTTTGAAATCTGGTTCAGTACAGACATAACTTCACTACTGTTATTATCTATGAGGAATTTTCACAATGCCTTTCTAAAAAAATAAGGAGTAGAACAAAAATGTGTTGCTGCTGAATCTGGATACTACAAATTTGTAGATAGATATTCTAGATAACTCTGACGCGTTTCCATTAAATTCTGGTACAATCTATATACCGGGTTGTTATATTGTTTTTTACTATTATTCTTGATATAAATCTGTAATGTTTTTTTCACTATTTTTTTTGTTTTTGGTCTGATTGATTATATATTTGTCTTATAAGGTACCATACTTCTCCGCACTTCTGGGCTTATACTCAAGGACTACCTTAGAGAAGATGATTTTTTTTTGGCTTAAAATTGAACCCATATTTTACCACCCACGAAAAATTATCCAAATTACATCTCTTGTTCACCATGCTGGGCTTGGGGGAATATTATCACAATGTCTTTTTAAAGAAAAAAAACATACAATGCTTTTGTTCTATTATTAGTAGCACTTTAATCATAGTTTATTGTTCCAATATAAAAAAAAATGCAATGGGTAGCCAAATACAGTAATACTAAGTGAAAGTAAATTCTCAAATTTATGTGACCTTTAACCTTTTGACTGATCGCCAAATTCAACTTTTGTCACTATAAGTACATTTTTTCATAATTTTTCTAGAAAATTATGTTTATTGAATCAAAATAGAAAAGTACAAAAACATATGGTTCTCAAAGGTGCTCAAACTTAGTTGTCATGCAATTCCACAGTAGTTGAGATAGAATACTGTAAAATACTTTATTTTCGCTTGGAAATAAGTTTCCCTATTTTCGTTCAAGGAATGATTCAGTGAAAATAAAATCCAGCAAATATACCTTTTTTTCTATATTTTACATTCAACTCATCAAAAATCAGTGAAAATAAATTCCATATAAAACACCAATAAAGTCTTTTCAACGAAAATTAATTTCAGCGAAAATAAAGTATTTTACAGTAGTAAGAATTCATAACTTACATTATACAAATTATGTTCAATTGAAGACTTAGATTCAGTATCTACATATCTTAAATCTGAAGCTACAAAGAGTTGTTTTTTTGACATTATGTATCGATTTCTTCACTCATCCCTGCTGTTAAGTTGACTGAGAATATTGAAGTTTTTTTGAAGATTTTATCAATAATTTACCATTTAATGTACTTTTTAATTCCGTTTGATTCTCAGACAGTCGGAATGACACAATTAGATAGTCTTCTAGGAGAGTGCTCGCAGACACTCGTAATGTATCATTTATATACCTAGTTTTTGTATTAAAATGGTCATTGCACATTGTTTCTAATAAGCCCATAAAATACCTGCTAAAATGTACGTTTCTAGTAACTCGACATTGCCTAGATTTTTCAGGCTGACCCAGTATCTGTTTTAAGGCAACACTGGAAAATGGACACTTGTAGGTACACATTTCAGCTCGACTTGAAATTCTTCATTTTTGAACCAAAATATCAACCTGTACATGTAAGATGTGGCGTATTGTTATATGAGAGTAAGGGCCAAGCAGCATGAACGTATGATGAACAGTTGAACATTTATATACTGTGAAACACTTTATTTTTGCTTGTAATTAATTTTTGCTGAAGGAGTGATTCAGTGAAATAAAATCCAGCGAATATACCTTTTTTTTCCTATATTTTACATTCAACTCATCAAAAATCAGTAAAAATAAATTCCATTCAAAACACCCAAAAAGTCTTTTCAGCGAAAATTAATTCCAGCTGAAATAAAGTATTTTACAGTATAGTGATACCCCAAAACAGTAGAAAGACGAACAGATCATTATGAACTCAAAGTTTATACTGAATATACACCACTAATCACTTTTTAACACATTTTTCACGCTGAACGTTCCACAGAAAGAACAATTATTGCTCCTTCATGGCATTGTAACCAGGAGTGGGCATACTTCTTGTGTGTGTCAGCGTTTCCATAGCTAGTTATCAAATTTGGCTTGAGGAAATGTTTTTATATAAAAATCAACGTGATTCTGGATACCAATGATGGTAAATAGTCAAGGCTTGGAGAATGGGTATCATTTAAACTGTGCAGTAAAGCATATTAGGGAATCAAAGCAGTCAGGTTGGCCTTCAATTGCCCTGGTTTATATGGTTGCATAACATATCTTTTATTTGTATTTTTGAACGAGTTTGAGCTCCTAAAATGTCAGGTTTTATTTTGTTGCAAATTTGTTATTGTCTAGAAGGATTTGCTCTTGTTTAACTTCTTATGATGACTAGAGTTTGTATACACCAAAGTCCACTTTTGTCATTTAAACATTTTTGTCCATTTGAATCAAAATGAAAAATGTACAGAAAAATATAGTGCTCAATTGAGCTCCAACTTAAAGTTAAATTGTCATGCTATTTTCACTATTTTGTTCTCTTGTTTTATTCAGGATCATTATATTTACATGACTGCACAATAGAACCTTATATACCGATATATCTGATAGTTGGTGGTTGCTTTGGCGTACTGAAGAATTTAGTATCGTTAGGTCAGAGAGCTAAACGACATCAAGATGATGACGGAGATCAAGAGGATAATGTGAGATCCGATCCTTTCAATTCATTATTGAATTGCTTTCTCCTTGCCTGGTTTATAGCAGGTAAGAACACTGTTGGACTATTGGAATAATAGTCATTTCAACAGTATCAGAAAATGGTATAATAAGGGTTTATTCCTGGGGAATTATAGTCGCATGTGAGATATAGAGGGCGCTATATGAACACTGTTTACAGCAGGTGAGTTATAGAGGGCACTGTACTAATGTTTACATCACTCAATGTATTATGCCTGAAAAAATTAAGTTTCTGGTCAGTATTCACACCAACAGTAAAAGAATGGGCAGATTTTTCACTTATTTCACCACTGCACAGTGCCCTCTGTTGATAAGTTGATTAAACCTGCAAAACTTCTCCACCATTAAATATAGAGAATATTGTTCAGTTTTCAGATTGATTCAGTTTACAGAGGTTTTACAGTGAAAGCTTTCTAAACCAAACACCAAATGGACTGAGAAAATTGTTCGTTTTACAGAGGTGTTTTTAGAGTTCTTACAGTGAAACCTTTCTAAACAAAACACCAAGGCACTGAGACAAGTTTTACTGTATAAGCATATCTGTTTCAGTATCCCCTTCATGCTGTACATTTTGTTTTTTCAGGTAACGTGTGGATATACAGATCATATCAACCAAACTTTGAGGATGTCACCTCTCCATATTACTGCTATGAACCGCTCTATAAATTTGCCTTCTGGTTGACCAATGCTACTTACATCATGTTAGCATTCTGTTGTTGCTGTCTGTGCTGTGCAGCAGGGTGTACTGCTATGAAAACCAAATAATATATAATCCATATTGCTGGGCTACACTTTCTTAATAATGTTCTGATCGCAGGGCCTACATAAACTTACGCAGTTGCATGATTCTGACTGTTCCTATGGCGACAACAGCTTCGTTTCTGACAGTTCATCTACTTTCATGTACTCTGCCCATTTCTATGGCCACAACTACGGAGTATTAAACTTAACATGAACGCCCAAATAACAGCATTAGCTTTTTTCACCCTAGTATGAAAAAAAATGTTGTATTCTTCTCTGCAGTGAAGTAGACTTCTGCTGTTGTATTAGATCAGTGAAGGGAAAATCAGTAGTATTTTCACCCTAGTATGAAAACAAATTTTGTATTCTTCTCTGCAGTGTTAGTAGACTTTGTTGGAAAAAACCTGTTGTATTATGACAGCGAAGGAAAAAACTGTTGTATTAAAACAGCAAGGGGAGAGGGAATGAAGTTGTATTACGACAGCAGAGGAAAAAATGACTTTTCTGAACTGTTTATATATATGTATATATTAAAGAAATTGCGTATCAAAATTCTGCAAAAAATCGGAAATGTTGATAAAAAAAAGTTGCATAATTTTTCTCATAATGGCTACACTTCATGTATAAATTAGTTATGTATTAGTATCAATGCTATATTCGTAGCACAACATTTGGTGAATAGAAACATGATAGTACAAGTATGTCTGCAGCTTATATGATCATTCAATGAATGTGCATAGATACACTATAATATAAGACTGTCAAAATATTTATATTTCTCTAAATCTAAGATATTTTGACACTGAAATAACACAAGAAATCTTAGCCTATTATATATGGTTCACTTTTACTTGATGTATATATGTAACCTGTACATAACACAGTTGTGGTATTTATTCTTGTGGATGAAGCTATCATCACAGATCGTTTTATGTTGTTTGGATGTGCATTTCTGTACTATGTATTCCTATTGGCTGTGTGCAAGCTGCTGTGGAACGTTGATCAAAAAAAAAGCTAAAGTCGAGAAAACAGCACAAACTCAACTTGAGGCAATTCTGAATAACCAAATTGAATTTTTTTAAACATGTAGGGGTGTTCTTGTTACACTGTTCAGGAGAGTCTCAATAACTAGCCCAAAATACAGTTTTCTGAGAGTTTTTGACCATATTTTCAACAGTTGCCAGCTCGGCAGTGAAAATGGTTGGATGTTTGCTCCTGTGAATTCCTTGGTGTCTAGTTTTTGTTTCTATGTCATTAAATTCAACCTGTGCCATTAAATTTTATGAGAGTTATTTAAAGTTATAAGTACCAGAAATCTCAATGCATTACATACTATACACTGTGCAACATGGTATATTCACTCACTTGTAATGAACCAATCAGTGGAATGATACTATAGTGTGACTAACTCTACTTGTAATGAACCAATCAGGGGATTTGTACTATAGTGTGACTAACTCTACTTGTAATGAACCAATCAGGGGATTTGTACTATAGTGTGACTAACTCTACTTGTAATGAACCAATCAGGGGATTTGTACTATAGTGTGACTAACTCTCAAGTGTAACCTGTTCTGTAATTATAGAACTGCTTCTAACTACAGTGCTTGTATATTAAACCTCATTTTTGATATACAGGTTTTATTTCACGAATAAGAGGCCACATTCTCCAGTTTAAGCTGTATTTATTAAATATAATAACACAATAATGAATATGCAAATCAACTTCAATAGCCTAACATTCACTAATTTTTCAAATACACTTTTTAGCTCCGCTGTCGACTTTGTCGAGCAGAGCTTATCATATGAGTGATTGTCCGTCGTCGTCGTCCGTGTCAATGTTTTACTTTTTCGACTTTTTCTTGAAAACTACAAGCCTGAATGCTTTGATACTTGGTGTATATGTATTATGGGTAGACCTCTCTCAGATTTGTTCATTTCATGATCATATCTTCAATTCTCTAATTTTGGTGAATACTTTTGTCATTTTTGGTAAAAAGTGATATTTACGACTTCTTGTTAAAAACCGCAAGTCCAATTGCTTTGATATTACATATATAGGTACTACGTGTGGACCTCTCTCAGATTTGTTCATTTTGCAATGGTATCTTTAATTCTCTAATTTTGGTGAATATTTTTTGTCATTTTTGGTAAAAAAGTGATATTTTCAACTTCTTGTTAAAACC